CACGCTTGCAAGTTTTCTTCGATCATCAATCTTCACACACACAAACGAAAAGCAAGATGCAACCTTTTCTGGCACGGCGAGCGCATCATCATGTCGTTAGCAACGTCAGGATGCTTGCAATGCTTGTCCGGCAGCCAAGAACGCTCGGATCCAAATCTGTCGCATGTGACACACGACAAGAAAGCCTTGAAGGCCACCTGCAGCCAGGTGTCAGGGGTCTACCATGCCTTAAGCAGAAACCCGAAAGACCTTGCCTTTCAATGACTGCCTTTGCGTGTGCGTTCAATGATGTGGAACGCTTGGAGCATGCAGCTTGGAGTACGAGTGTTGTGTCTTCCTGCCGCGCTATATGTCTCTTCAGAAACGCAACGATCAACCCAACACAAATGATTGCAGGGCTCATCTCTAAACCCCTGCGGAGGGTCTAAAGATGTATCACCATGCCTGACATGCCTGCTTGAAACCCGCGTTCTTCTTTCTCGGGCCTTGTCTACCACTATGTCCACAGACTCGTCTGGCAGAGTCATTTTGGTGGCATCGTCCACGAACCTTTGCGACAAGGATGGAGGAATGTGAGATCCACGGTGCGATGACTCACCTTGCTGCCACATCCTCCGAGCCGAGGCACCATTTTGCCAAGGGCATGTCCGCTGCGGTTTTCTCCTGCATCTCGGAGATGGCATGCCTCAGCATGGAAGCCATTTGAAGCCTATCCGACCCATCCTTAACACGTCTTCCGATCAAACAGTTCAACAAGCACACTGCCCGGCACCGACTGCACATGACATCTACAACCCTAGCGTGCCCAGCTCCATCTCCTTCCAGAACCTCCTTCCCAACCACGCAGCTGGCAAGTGGCTGGGAGATGTCTGAGCTCAGCAAGTTCGCGTATCCATCCTGTGATGGGGGCTGCGGGCCAGAACACCCAGGCCGAGAGTTCGTGACTTTGCCGGATCGGCTGCTGAGCATTTCTGAATACTCTGGCAAGCGGCTTTGTAGATGTCGGGACTCAGCTGGTCGATTCCACATCCTGCCAAGTTCCCAGGGCCGAGACCATCCTACTCCCAAACTCTGCACTTGGACCTGCAACCCCCAAGCCGAAGCNNGCCTCCGATCCCTCGGGGAAACCAAAAGAAACCTTCAACCCACTGGGGGGGAAGTCTGCTTCGTTCTCGGACCTGCCCTGCCCCGCCCTGCTGGTTACAATGTGTCTGTTGTCGGGCTGTCGATGACCAACTCAACTCGAGATTCAGCTGGCTCCTGAACCGGGCCAGCATACGTGCACAGCCATCCAACTCCTCTGTCATCGATGATGTCGCTGTGCACACCTCCGTGGCCACTGTCAAACCCGGCAATCCCCTCGATTCAA